AGTAACAAGTGCCTTACTAGTAACAAGAAGCTAGTAGAAACAAGTGCATCGCTAGTAGTAACAAGTGCCTTACTAGTAACAAGAAGCTAGTAGAAACAAGTGCATCGCTAGTAGTAACAAGTGCCTTACTAGTAACAAGAAGCTAGTAGAAACAAGTGCATCGCTAGTAGTAACAAGTGCCTTACTAGTAACAAGAAGCTAGTAGAAACAAGAAGCAGGCCTTGTTCTTCCTTGAGCGACCGGAACGCTGGAGCGCGGACCGGTCGACACTCCGCTCGGTGCGGACCGTTCCCCGCAACGACGCGACCGCGCGGCGAAGCGAACCAAGCTGCTGGTCTTGCTCTTGTGCCAGTCGCCGTAGCGCACCGGGGGGTAGTCCAAGGAGGGATCCCCAGTGCGAAACCCTTGAAAAGGCTGCACAACTGTGTTACCTGGAGGACACTCCAAGGAGAGATCTGACAGCCAGAGAATCCAAGGACAGTGAAGGGCAAGGGACCACTACCAAGAAGGTGTGGGGGGAATATCCCTGACCAAGCCTCTTTTCTGCTAACAACGTGTACAATACAAACATATATATAATGGAAAAGAAGGCACGATGAGGCACGTGTGCTGCACTCACTCGCCTCATCACGCTCCAACCCTGCCCCAACCCTGTCATGAGTCAGGTGACCAATCTCAGGCTTCACTGCCTACCTTTTTGGGGGATACCTGGTCTGCACCTCTGTGTGGCAAGGACGGATTCGTTGGTCTGCGCTTCTGTCGGTCTGATTTGAGGCTGTTTGCCAAACAGTATCAAATCGAACTGTTAAATGGACACAGGTCGTTCAGTTTGGGGTGTGTTCCTCAGTCAGTCCAGGATCCCCACACAAGTTGCCTCTCCAAATGACCCAAAAGTCAGTCACTCAAATCCTAATGAGAATGGTTTGATCACTCAAATCCTCCGATGTTAGAACCATGGGTTGTATCTCACAAATTCCAAGGACCACAATAGCTGAGCCTCTCTTTTTGCTTTTTACAGGGAAACCGCAGAGGTTCTACAGCGAATCGCTCCGTATTTATTGAGCTGGGGTTGAGGGATGGCCTAATCACAACAGCAAACTCGCGTTTCAAAGCAAAAAGGCAACTCATTGTGCCATGCTGCACAATTCAACTGGCCGAGTTGCGATCTGGCTGTAAGAACAAAATTTGTGATTGCCTCACGCAGGGTTCATTTCCTTGGGAATCAAAATGAATAGCTGTTCTGCCAGCAGAAATAAATTGAGATATAGTATATATATATATATATTATAGGCTAGCCGCTACACACTCCCTGACATATATAATCATGGAAGTGCATGGAGTCATTTCAGGGAGTGCAGAACTTCTAGTCATTTCCGCGGGTACATTCTATAGATTGACTTCAGGCCAATCATGTTGCGCATCACTCACAGCGCATGTTTCTCCGGCCTCACAACCTCCCTGTCCGCGCCCGTCTGGCAATTCGCAGTGAGCATCTCAGTATTGACACGATGCACCAAAGCCCGAACCTCGCGGCAAACATGAATGGCGTGAAATGTCGAAAATGTCGGCTGGCTACACAGCTGGTTGGCTACCGAGCTGGATATACAAAATTTGTTTGGCTTGGAATTACAGTAAGTCACTGACAACCATTGTGCATCCTTCTTAAGAACTGAAGTGCATGTTGAAAAACGGACGACATATCTCAGGATACCGGCTCAGCCACTTGAAGAACCCAAACTTGAGCGGCTTGGTCCCTAACACACCATGACAAGACACCTCCATAATAGTTGATTCTTCGAAACTGGCTTCCACATGCCTGCGAATGCCTTCTGCGCGCACAGTTGCCTCTTTAATCGTTTGCGCCCCAAAGGTAGGAACAAGGGCATCACTACTAGGATGGATCTTTCTAGTAGCGATGCCCTTGTTACTAGTAGCTTCTTGTTGCTAGCAGTAATGCCAGGAGCTAGAGCTACTAGTAGCGTCCTTGCTCCTAGTAGCGATGCCCTTGTTTTCAAGGATAAAACACTCCTTGCGCTTTCACTCGCCTCTCTCTTGAGCGCTTGGCAACGAGAACACCCACCAGCCTTGCCATTGGTGACGCGTTCCAACATGTCGCCAGCAAACACGACACCGAACACATTCGCATCAGGCATGTCCAAGGACATCCATTCCCCGTTGAGCAGCGCCTGTGCCGCGGCAAGATGGAAATCAAGGTCAAAAGGATTCGAGGTAGTATGTGTGTGTACATTCTGTGACTGACCCATGGTACCCAAACCCAACAAACTCAGTAGACAGGATTCAAACCAAACAGCACTGCTGTGTCTACTGGCATGAATCAAGTAAAGGTTTGATATACTTTCTGCAAGCTTGCCAGAGGCAGTTGCGAAGCAGGCTGAAAAATGGAACTCCCCAAGACTGAAGGCGACCAGAGATCAACACCTGCGTTCAAGGAGTGAACATACTTCTGGATCATCTTCTTCAAGAAAGACTTCAAGTGGAGCAAAATCAAAATCCATCAAAATACCCTGAAGCCAATCCCAGGATTTGGTGTCCCCGCAGAAGCTGCACCGAGCTACCTCCCACTTCTTACGTCACGCTGCGAACCATCTTCCACTGGTCATGTTTCCGGGCTGAAGGAATGGAAATGGGCGACCGGTGGAGGTCCCCGAGCAGGGTTTCCCAGTTCAGGTCGGTGCGTAAAAAACGGGAGACCTCGGGGGCATGTCTTGGGTCTCCCTATCCAAATAGCTGTGGGTCAAGAGTCAGGCCCCTAGTCAGGCCCCAATCCCAGGTTGACCATGTCCACTCATGTCCATTCTGTTCATTTGTGGTCAGGTCGCGTTTGGAGCGGACGGAGAGAGAACCAAAAACGCGGAACCGGACCCTTCAGACATCGGAGTCCCTGGTCCTCCAGACACCTCCCGGCTCCTTGGGCCGCTCCTCGCCAGGTCCTTCCCCGACCCGATCCTCGAGGCCGGGCGCTGTGCTCTGCCTGAGCACGTGGACCGAACCACCGGGGGGTCAGGGACGTTTGGGCAGCGCGACCGGGGAGAAAAAACAGAAAGTGGTGACACCAGAAATGTTTGGGCGGTGTTCAACGGGGTGTTCATCTGTCTCACCGGTGGCGCGACCCCAACACTCGCCCCAAACCACCAGTGCGCGACCTTTTTTCAATCGCGCCTTTAAAGACGGTACGCACGACCCCAACAGGCACCGTCCACAGGTCGGTCACTCCAAAGCACTGGAAAGTCACCAAGCCATAGTCTGTGTGCTCTGTGCAGGACCCATGGGCTGGGTAGACACAGTGACGCCTCAGAGAGGTCGAAAACCGCACATTTAATAGCAAGACAGGTGGACCACTAAGGGGCTCGTGGTGGATGGGTCAAAAGAGGCTAAGATGGCCAGATAGTACATCCAGGGTCGCATGTTGATTGAAACATCAGCAATCTCGAAACATCAGCAACCGCTTCGTTCTGTGAACAGAAGCGAAGAGCAGAACTTGCAAGAACTGCAATCAGGGAGCATGCGGCTTCCGTTGAAATATTCGAAGCCTCTCGCCACCAAAGCACCTCGACGCCGCGTCGTGGACCGGTCGTCGTGCGGACCCACCGGTGCGGAGCGACGTGGGGTGCAGACGCAGCCAGGCTGGGGGCTTGTGAGATGCAACGGATACAGCTTGGCTTCCTCTTTCTTTGGGTGTTTCCGTGACATGTTCCACATCTCAAAGAGGGAGGCGTTCCACCGGTTCAGGAAAGTCTTTCTTCACAGCTGGTCACTGGTCTGGAGTGATGTCTTTTCAGGAAAAGAACACCTGGGAGGATTATGGTGGAAACCACTGGGAACAAGGGGTAACTATAGATTAAAAGACCTCACCCAACAGTCAACAGAAAAAACCGTCTCATGTCCATGTCCTGCAGTCTGATGACCTACCTGACTGACTCCATGACTCGCTCCATGACTCCGACGTCCCCTTGCCTAGACTTCCTGGTGGCTCCTCTTGCAGCGGCCCCAAGGCAAAGAGCTCGCTCTTCAGCATCGCCGACAAGACCTCACACACGACGAAGCACTCGCTTTGTCTCACCCGGAAGTGTAACCTCTGCCGGACGATGGAGATGGTGGAAGGTTTAGGGTTTAGGGTTTTTGGAACGTAGTGATACGATGTGATACCATGTCATTAAGTGGCATTATCTTACTTTCTAGGCAGATTGAACAGTGAATTTCCGAGTTCGAGAAGCACTCTTGTAGTTTTCTGGCGGGGTTCAGTTGGTTCAAGGTCATGCGAAAGACTATCTGTCTCAACTGTTCTTCAACTTGCATGCTTAAAAAATCAAACGAAGCTGAAGATTCTGTTACAGCACAAGACTAGTTCATGTGGAACTGTTGAGATGGCTGAAACACAGTACATTGATGGCTCTCCCTGGCAGAATTCGTGGAAGACGTGCACCTTCGACCTTCGGTCATGCCCCTGTTCCCAACGACGGTGTTCCAAACAACGGCGTTCTTTGCTTCATAGTGACGTTGAAAGAGGTGCCAACCTCCTCGCGCAGCCAATGCAGATCACCTCGCCAGGTAAAAATCACGGCAGAACTGTGATCTGAACCGCCAGGATCCTGAAGAGATGTTTTACAGACCCTGAAGAGATGTTTTAGAAGATGGGTGAGGTGTTCTTTAAATCCCCTCCTGGTTTCTTAGAATTGCGTGTTTCACAGACTGTTTCTCGCGGTTCATGGTCGATTCTTTCTTGTGGGGCCATGAACTAAGGAAATCTCACAAATAAGAGGCCCGATGAAAATTGGCTTGGATTCCCGTTTCATGAGTTCAGTTAGGCCTTCTGGCTTATCTCCACAGCATCAGCTTTCTTGGTCTATATATTATGCCATATGCTATATATGTCAGGGGGGCAATACATCACGGAAATCCCCAGCGATCGCTTGAAGCTCGGGGGCTGTTTCAGCCGCGTGCGAAAAGGCCAGTGACGTTTGAAGCCGGGCGAGGGTCTTTCGGTTCTGACACCCTTTCTATGATCTTTAGCAAAGATCATAGTGAGAATAGTAGTAGTATATGCACAACATGCGTGCATCCTGTTCTGTTTATTTCCTGATTGTGCTCTTGAAAGCAACTCAATGGTGTCACTCTGCAGCGACATTGTGCCATTGTGGAATTGCAGGACGATATACTGGGACATCATAGCGTCTGCTTTGTTATTGTTTCGACCATTGGCTGCAGCTGGCTGCAGCCTTTTTGGGAGATCGGCCAGTCGGCCGCGGGCGCAGCGCCACTGTGCTCAGTCAAGGAGCCCCAGTCTGAAATGGGCTGTCGCAGAGTGTCTAAGCCCAAGCCGAAGTTGTAGCCTCGTGACGTGTGACGTCAGGCAGGAGGCCACTCCAACTTCAGCAAGGTCTATGATCAAGTCAAAGCCCCAAATGACCAAGTCAAAGCACATGTGCAGAGGCCACCCTTTCAATCTGATCAACTAAATGAAGAAAATAGATAAAAATCATGAAAAGCGCTTTCTTCTGTCTCTCCATAGCCATCCCCGGACCCCACAGCCATCCACAGCCCCTCCGATTCTGAGCCGAAGGACGCACATCTGGTGTATGAATCTTCTCACTCCCCGACATCGTGCGGAGCAAATCCTCCCCTTGGGAGAACCGTAGCTGTCCACTGCTCACTAAGGGCCGCCTGCCGAAAACGGGACACGATTTGGCTTTGGATCCAAACCGGGACACCCTGGTTAACCACCAATGAACAGAATAGGGGTCAATCAACCCTGGTCTGGGGCTTCGGGTTTTGACTCACAGCCATTTCGGTGTTCTGCATGAGTTCTGCTGTGTGGGTGTTACAATGGATGGCTTCTTTCGGCTCAAGTCTCCCCATGTTGATCATGTGGGACGCTCATCTGAGAGTATGATGGCATCATCATTCCTTAGATGCTCCTTAGATGCACCTGCTTTGAAGAACAACGACCGAGCCTTTTGAAGGCCCCTGGCTGTAGCAAAGCTTCTTTCCAGAGCCCTTTCCACAGAGGAAAGCTCGGGTAAGGACAGCCTCTGCTCTGTGACAGTTGACAAAGCTGTGGTCAATTGTGGCTTTCATGCAAGGTGTCACAATCGATTCCATCTGGGCCTCTCTACCTTTTGACCATTGGGTCCTATGGAAATGTGATCATTGTCAGTCATGTGATCTGTGAAATGTCATGATCATGGATGTGCACCACATCAACAAAGATCTTCTGCCTATGCCTATCCCCCAAAGACTCTCGGAAAATCCGCTACTGTATTCGCTGCGTCACAAGGGGGGCGACATCCGCGGGTGCTCCACGGGTCTTCCGCGCACGATCCGCGCACGAACGGCGCATCGCAACGTTCGGGAGCTGCGAAACTCCACTCGTCGGTACTGATGAAGACAGCGCCACAGTAACTGAGAGCCTCGACCTCGGGTCCCGCTCCGGGCGCAGAAGTCCAGGTCAAATGGACGGAGCAAACGGTGTGGGGGATTGAAAGAAAGTGGAATGGGAGCAGATGTGATGTGAGATGGAGTGTTTGAAGGTGTTCCAGGTCCTATTCTCATCAGAATCCGGTAGCTTTGGAAGTTGCATCCTTTGGATGATAGCCTGAAATGCAAGCCCTTCATTGATTCTGCACCGGTCAAGGCGAAACACAAGTATCTGCAAAAGTGGCCTGCATGTTGTTTTCCGAGCTCCACGCCCAAGGTTCGACCGGTTCAACCACATGGGCCGGGCACTGTTTGAGCCGTACGAAACCACCTCCACCACTTTCCCAACGAAACAGCTCTACACAAACCGGCAAAATGTAAAAGGGGACGTAGTAGAATCAATCGACCCTTGTGTAAAAAAATATGGTTGTATCATGTAAGTTATGGACATATTGTATCTTGAATGTCGAGACACCTTGGAATCCGAATGTGCGACACCCGCCGTCCGGTGACACGGCGGCACCGGACGCGGCCCCGGTCGAAACGGCCCGTCCCAGCGAAGCGGCTAGACGCCCTGGCTCCTTCCAAGGATTGATCGTCGGCACGGTCCTCACTGGCGAGAAATGGGGAAGACGAACTTCTCATGAAAAGATCTGAACGAATCAAACTGGACATGGGGGATGATGTTCTTCCCCAACATCACATCATGAACTTTGGTCAAAAGCCAACAAAATGAAAAGACATCGATAGACGACTGTCATCCACTGAACCCCCGTTGCAATCTCACCCCCCGTCGCAATCTCTGCGTCTGCTTCCGTGCCAATCTCAGCGGCAGAGGTGGTGGCAGCTCCCGACTCAGGTCGTAGCATTGGGGCCTCAGAAGTGTTGCACCAGGTCCGTTCTCAGATGGTTTGATGGGAGAACTGGCCCAGTCTACTCCTCTGGGCTTCTCACACCAGCTGGGAAGAAGCAAAGGACCATCTGCTTTCAGTCAATCAGTCTTGGAAGATGAGACCTGTCGGGTCGTCCCCGGCCAACCTGCGCCACGGGGTTCCGGGCAACTTGTTGTCCGGCTGACCTCGCGCTTGCGACATCTGTGTGGAGTACAAACATCCAAGAACATCGACTGAAGTCGGCCCACACACCCTCCCCTCCGTACAAGTCCGTGAGATAGGATCTCCCACATCAATCAATCTACTCCTGGAAGAGAACCTATCTCCCATCAAGACAGACCAGTCTTCATCCTCTGATCTGCCACAGTCCATCTTCATGATCCCCGGCCTTCGTTGAGTGGATAGAAACTTTGTGGCCTCGCAGGATAGAACGCAGAAACGGCGCCCTCCAAAATCAGGTGTTTGCCCGTCTGGAGAACATGGAGAACATTCAGAAAGGCGAACCCGCTAAACTCTGAAAGCCACTTCTCCTTAAAACAAAACATTCATATTAAAAATAAGGTTTTGAAAGCCACTTCTCCCGAAACATTTTAATTGATTCCGTCCATTTCTGCCAATCCTCTGAACGTCGCTTCACCCGAAACCCGGAAATGTCCACACTTCGTTCCCCCGGTGCCTGGCAAACTGCTTTTCTGGTGGGTCAATTAAGGTTTTGAGTTTCGCAAAACCAGGGAACGGGAAACTATGGGAAACTGGATGAATTATGCCAACACTTCTCCAAGTAAAGACCATGTCAATGACATGTAGCCTGCTCGAGTACTTGGGGTCCTGTCAAGTACTATGGGAAAGCGGTCTGCTGGACTGAGGGCTGCGGCTGTGAGTAGAAGCTCTGTGAGAGGACTTGCCTGAGCAGTGCACAGCCCTGAGCATCTTTGCGGTCCCATATTGTTGGATGCGGTCCAGTACGGGACAAGTGTCCATGCCCTATCCGTGCATGTTTTGGTGAAGAGTCAAAGGTAGACTGGACGGAGCAGGGAAGGCTTCAACGATTTCTCAGTGGGCATCAGCCTGTGATTGATTTTGGGTCAGTCTCGCTCGCGTTTGATAAACACCTGGTACTGCAATCCAAGACACTGCGCATGCTGCGTGCGCTGGCTTTGCTCAAACATGGCATCTGCAATCCTCTGAAGGAGCCCATGTAGCTCCGTTTGACATGAGTGAAGTTCGTGCTGTGCTTGCTGAGCCTGCTGATGCTGATGCTGCTTCTGCTGAAACACCTGCCATGCCTCTGCTTGGCGAGTTGCATCTGCACGTGTTTGGCGCATTGCATCTGCATGTGCTTGGCGAGTGGCGTCTGCATGGGCTTGGCGTGTTGCATCTGCTTGGCGAGTGGCATCTGCATGAACTTGGCGAGTTGCGTCTGCATGGGCTTGGCGAGTGGCATCTGCATGAACTTGGCGAGTGGCGTCTGCATGGGCTTGGCGAGTTGCATCTGCATGGGCTTGGCGAGTGGCATCTGCATGGGCTTGGCGAGTTGCATCTGCATGTGCTTGGCGAGTGGCGTCTGCATGGGCTTGGCGAGTTGCATCTGCATGGGCTTGGCGAGTGGCATCTGCATGGGCTTGGCGAGTTGCATCTGCATGTGCTTGGCGAGTGGAAAACCGAGGGAATGGTAGAGGGTATGAGCCATTCTGGTAGAATGACTGTGAACCCTCCTCCGCTTCTGTGCTCGCTTTGGGAGCTGAAGCTGCCTGCCAAGCTGTTCCCGGAACCACAAATCCAAAGCCAAATCCCGTCAACGTTCAGGCATCAATATTGAGCAGGTTACCCAGAAAGTTGTGTATGGTTTTCTGGTCAATTTGTGGGAGTTATGTGGAGGCTCTGGGTTACATAACATGGCCTTATTGCAGCCCAAAGAGTCTTTTGTTGGGCCTTTTGGGTTCCAAACCTCTCTCCAGCTCTGAAACAGTTTATATGTATTCCACGTCCGGTGTCGAATGGCTCACCCTGGCCTCCAGATCAGGCCCGAGCCAGTCCGCCGCCGAACGTGGGGGTTCCTGGCGTGCTCGGGGTGAAGGAACACTCCGAACGCGTCCAGACGGGTCGAAGTCCCCGAATTCCGCTGCGAACCGCTCGGTGGTCCGATCTTGCAGCGGCGCAAGAAGAACCCCAAGGCTTTCGTGCGGTCCTGTGCCCAAGTCTTTGAAAAAACTCAAAGTTTTTGACAAAGAGGCACCCAATCAGCAGGTTCCCAATCTCTGACATATCAAAAACTGTTACACTGTTTCCGTTGGGCATGTCCTCTTGGGAACTTTACAGGTCACTTTCCGCCCACACAGCGCGGCTACGCTACGCTTCAACTATTCAACACATGTCGACTAAAATACATCAGAATGGTCAAGATGGTTTGTTCGTTTCGACGTTAAGTTGGGACTGTTTTGAGCCCTTTTCCGATGGCTTGGTGTGCGTCCTGCGCATCCCAACGGTAACTCTTTGGCGTCACATGGCATCTGTCGTCCATGGATGTCCATTGTTGAGTGACCACTGCCAAGCCGCGTTTGCCCTCCAGAAGAACATGAAACATGTTCGGAAAACCTGGTGCATTCTGCTATGGTTCGTTCTTCAAACTTATCATAGGGAAGCCCGCAAAAGGTAAGTTGGTAAGTTGGAATGGTTCCTTCCTGCGCATGGCCCACAAAACATGTACCAGGTCAGAAAGGCATAGTTCAGAGGGTTGGAATTGCTCGGGTCGCCACGAAAAGTGTGCTAGGTTGGAATGTGTCCTGCTCTAGATTTTCGGCTGCAAAAGGAATCTGTTCACAAAAGTTTGTTTGCAGCAGCTTCCTTCCCTCCCTCCTGCCTTCCTTCGTTCCTTCCTTCCTTGCCCAAACAAAAACGATTCCTTAAACCCAAACAAAAAAAAACAAAAGAAGCTACAAAAATCGCCCTCAACCCCATGGCTTCCCCCTGGTGAAAGGAAAACCTAGACTAACATCCACGAATACGCTCAGCTTGCTCTTTAGATACACTTTGCCATAAAATGTCTTGTCATCATGGGGGCAATATCCGTCAACCTCCGTTCAACCTCCGTTTAGACTGAAGGCTGCAGAACGAACCACACGTTCTGAACGCACGCACGAACGCACCGTCCCAGTGGGGTGGCTCAATCAATCGTTCACTTCCTGCCCTCAGACCTACAGGTACCTCGTCAGACATCCCCTTTCACAGTGAATTTGTTCCTTTTCTGTAGAGCAACGTCTTTTGTGCATGAATATAGACCTGAGCGGATGGAATTGACTTAGCAGCTCTTCAGCGAGAGTGAAGACGCAGCTTCCAGTCCAGATAGGTGAAGCATGGTGAAAGAGAGAGGTGGTCCAAAGAGCGGCAGCTTTTCTCTATGATTCATATACCCAAGTCAAGCAAATGCTGCTCCGTGTTGTCATGCCGAGCCAAACAGCTTGTTGTTTCGCCACGTCGGACGGTGAAAGTCATTGTTCCGCCACGCAAGAGCACAGATGTCGAGGCACATGGCCATGGCATGTGGTGGGCCCAACGCCCAATGGTAAAGGCAAATGCTTAACCTGTGGAACCCTGAACCCTTTTCTTACATGTTGTATCCATATGTATTTATATACCCAAATACTATGTTCCCATATTCTTTTCAGTGACACCCTGAGTACTGTAGGGTTCACTCCTTGCTTAAGTTCCATGTGAAATCCCACACAACCACGGTAACCACGACGGCGTTTCAGGCGGATCGTTGGTGTGCCCAATGTAACTTATGAGATAGTTTATGGGTTCCGCCCACTTCCATCATGAAACATGCAAAACATGCAAAAAGAATCATTCTTTACATGTAAAGTGAATCTGCTTGTGATGTGTGCCAAAAAATGTGCCCCGGTTTCAAACTCTCCTAGCTTAACAGCGGACCCAGGCCACAGACGAATTCGTGCGCCGTTCCAAACGAGTCGAGGTCGCCGCTCGACCAGGAGAGGGTTCAGCTGCCGGCTCGGTCTCGAAGTCCCTGCCCATCCACAGTGGATTCTTCTTTGGTCAAAAACTTACAAAACAAACTTTTGACCAAATGTCTTCAGGGCATCCAACAATGTCTTCAATTCTTCAGATGCGACAACGTCCAACACACCTGTGACTCATCACATTGACAATACGATTGTGTGTTTCGCGTGGTGTTCACGTCCGCTCCAACAAAGTCTGACGTGACTACCAAGATCGAGTGAGTTGGAAGATGTGAGTGTCGACAATCTCCAGCCCACAAATGCCCATATATGCCCACATATGCCTATATGCTTTGTGGACAGTTCTCCAAAAACCATCTGTTCCTCCTCACCGGGCAGTCCAGGGATTGCAGCCATCTCACTCGACGGGACGAAACCAACTCTCCTTCGACTCTCCGAGACTCCGCCGTGGCCGGGAAGGTTCGACCACCGAGCGAAGCCAGTAGAGAGTGTATGTCCTGGGTGTGTATGTCCTGCTGGGTGTGTGTGGAAGAGTAGACACATCGAACCCATATGGGTGTGTATGTCCTGGTCGATGTCTCGGCGGTTCACCGTCGGAACGCCGGCGGTTCGGTCTATGTTTTGATGCGCTGGCCAAACATCTCTGACTTGCCGTGTCCAAAGTCCAAGGTTGTCTCTTTAGCACTGCAAAGGTCTGACTCTTGGGCCAACAACTGCAACAAATCATAAAAGGACTATAATTTAGAATCTTGATTCATAAACCCCCACACATCAATTAAGTAATCAAAAAGGCCCCTGCATATCGGGGTTAAAAATAGAATTATAGAACACAACAAAATGAGTCTACATTATATAGTAGAATCAAGTCACATGACCCTCCCATACCAAGTCTCCGGTGGATCTCACTGAGATCTCCTCCTCCGCTCCGCCCTTCGCTCGCGTCGCTCGCGTCGCTTGCGTCGCTCGTGCCGCTCGCCTCATGCCGTTGGTATCTCCTGCACGACGCGAACACATCTTCGATACGGTCCGTCCAGGTTCTTGAAGAACATCAGCAAAAGATGTTGAACAAAAAGAAGAAGACACGTTTTATGGAGACAAATCCACAGAAAACACGGGGGCGTGCGCTCGTCTCGGTTTCAACGAACATCTCTCTGTCTAGACCGCCGTCGAACTTTTTGAGGGCCCGGGCCTATATGTCCTAGCTTCTGTCGCTTGGCATTGTCCTCACGGAAGGGCTCAGTCCGTCTCGGCTCCCTAACAGGCTGTGATGGCTTCCGAACTTGTGTCTATACTGAATGATCTGAATGAACTTGCAAAGAGACCAAATGAAACAGAAAAGAATAGAATAGAATCGACCATCTCCCGACCATGCTCAATTACGGTGATGTCCTTTGTGATCCATGTGGCTGGTCACCACGGCACTTAGCAATCAAAAAAAACATGTCAAACAGCCTGTATGGTCAACCAGGTGTCTGTGATACTGAGGCCGCAAAGGCTTCTCCGAAGGAAGATCAACTCCCCGCCATCACTTAATGTAGACTTTTGATGCATAAAGCACCAGAAAATCCTCTTCATATGGGGGAGTTATTAATCAACAGTCTACAGCGTTGGGGGATTTGGGGAGTCTTTACAGTAACCCCCTGGTCCTGAGACTCCAGCGTTGCATCCTGAGAAGGCGAGCTGGAAGAGGAGAAGACTCAGCTAAGCTACTGCCAAAAAAGGAACAACTGGTCGATCCGCATTCGTATGCAAAATGATCCTTCTCAAGACACTCTTTCCCATGAAAACGTTCGGGCCGATATGACGCTGGGGCACAAGGAGATGAACCGACTGTTTTCAGGACCACGATCCCATCTGGTCGCAAAAAGCAAAAAACAACTGATGAAACCAAAACCTGACAAAGGTGACCTAGAAGGTCCTTCGTTTTCCTCAAATGTTCAGAGCAGCCGTTCGTTCTAAACGAAGCTTCTCATGTGAGAAAGATTCATTACTCAATAGTTATCTGGTGTTTGAAAATAGGGAGACCTCCAAAAAGATTTGCTGGAAGGTTCGGGGCATAGACCAGTCTACCCAGCCAGGGGCGATCGAAAGGGGATCTCCACCCAGAAAAGGGGGACTCTCGCCCTCATCGCCCAAGGCTGGGGCCGGAGCCTAGAAGCCACGAATTCGACAGGTCCAGAATCCGACTGTCCGTTCTCCCTTCCCCCCCTCCGCCAGGTTGTGCCTTCAAAGTAAATGTCGGTATGTTCAACATCTGCCACATTGCGATGCTGCTGGCATACTGAACCCACCCCAAAGAAGAATTGAGCTGAACTCCCGGTGTGTTCTTGGAATCTGAAACCAGTGGACAAAATCAAAGCCCTTGTGAGGATGGCTCAGCCCTTTCGTCCAGCAGAGATGGCACTGCCCCTCTAACTCGAAACTCGAGCGCTTGAGCTGTAAAATGCGAGACGCGTCTCACGAGATGTCATGGGATGATGTCATCTTGTCCTAAAGAATCTTTTCCTGGAGATCCGTGCTACATCAGGGGGCTTCAAAAGCCACAGGGCTTTTCAGATCGATTTGTTCCTTCCACTAGTGAGTCACTGACCTCTTAACATCTTGCTTGGACCAATTCTTCACCCATCGACCAATCAACCCCATCAACCTGCGCGTCTTGGACTGGTGTCTCATCGACTCAGCATCTCACTCAAGAAGAGCGTGGCCAAAAAGGGGATGAATCTGTGTGTGGCCAAAAAATGATGCGCAACTGAAAAATACGTGAAGGAAAAAAATGAAAAGCCTTCGGACCACTTTCTCCAAGAGTGTGCCGAAAACTGAGCAAGAGATGCCACCGCAGGCGAGCCACTTCGGCGGTATGGCTTCGCTGGTATGGCGCTTGGCCTTTAATCCGTGGGGATCGCGGCTCACAGACCGTTGGCCAGTGGACCTAAACAAAGAAAAGTCGATCGCCGCTGACCAAACACAAATGAGTGAGTCTGAAGCATTAAACGACTCCGAAGTCCAGAAGCAAAAAACACGCCTATCGCCTCCACAACCTTTGTATATAGCTGACTGTCACTCCTTAGCAAGGTCTATATATCTTCCTAGTCTAAAATGTTGTCAGCTTATCTTTGATTGGTCCACATCGGCTCTGGCCACGAGTCGCTTCAACCGGCACGGATAGAACCCCCGCTCCGGTGTCTCCGGCGTTTTCACTGTGAAGTGGCGACTGTTTCAAGTAGCGTAGCTCAAGACTCATGGGAATTTGTTCCTCCGAGAAATAACAACTGACGAACATGCAAACGTGGAATTCACCAATGTTCCGGAAAATCGGACAATCCAACGTCTTCGATTTTTCAGGCAGCTGCTCATCTTTGGGAGTTCAGTGGGAGAGAGTGGTCAGTGTAGTGACTGAAGCTTTTGATGCTGCAGTCGCCCAATGAGGAAGTGTTTTCTCTGGAGTGTCAAACCTCTGGGTTTGCCAACGGTTGCAACTTCGGGGAAATACACCCAATCTAAGCCTTGGGTATATCATATATTAATCCCAATACCATAACAGAGGATGATGATTAATTAGTAAAGGCCTGTCTCACAAATAGTGAGAGTTGTTGATAACCTTTCACCGACACAAAATGGTGGTGTGGGTTCTCCCAACCGGCGTAAAAGCAAGAAAAAGCGAGAAAAATCCTCACACTAAGAGTGGATCTTCCAACACATGACCTGAGTCAAGACATGTTGCCAGCCAATAGACTGCCAGCCAATAGACAAAACCATACAAAACCATGCCTCAATGGATTCCTTGGACCAGGGAACACCAGTGTGCTTGCCGAACTTGCAATTGCGAAGCTTCGGATCTCTTTTTGCGTCGAACTTCACAATGCAACACTTGAAAGAGGGTCGTTTGCGAGGGGGTGAGCAAAAATATCAGCGAACTTTCAGTTCTGCTCGTTCACTAGCAAAGGATTCCTTAGTGCGGGGAAAAAACAAACAAAAAGCCAGTGCCGCATGAGTCAAAAGTGACGGAAAATTCGAGTTTCTGCAGTTCCCCTTGAGCCAGTCTATTTCGCGTCATGCCTGGTACTGCATGAATGTAGGTCAGTTCACCCTTTAGGTCGACCAACCATCATGGAGTTCCTCTGGTCGGCTTGGTTCTTCAAGGATGTCTCCACCCTGGTATTGGCTGAGAGTCCACCCTGTTAACAGCTGAGAGTGAATGGTCTTTCTCCATATGGAGGTTTGATTCACCCACCCTCTACAAGAATCACGATTAAAGGTTCCACGTTCAAACCAGTCCCTTCAAAGGCACAAGTAGTCCTGTGAATGACTCACGCTTCCCCTCCAAGCGACGCTCCAAGCGACGACTCTGCAGGCCCGTTCGGAGCAAGTGTCTCGAGCTCCTGATCTGAAGGTCTGCGTGTGGGCTGAAACCCGTGCATCGCAGGAATACAACAGATCCTCAAAGGAAAGTCTAAGTATCACGTACACACATACATAGCCTCTTCTGAAATGTCCACGGCTTCTTCATCACTACATTCTCCATGCCCACTGGTGTCATCGCAGCCCAATCACCAGCAGCGTCAGACCCCGAAACGGGCCTCACTTCTTCTCGAAGAAGCCGTCATCCTCGTGGAAGGCCGAGTGAGGCATTCCCGAGGGCAGCTTCACGATGCTCCAGGGCGCCCGATCCTCGAAGGCGATCCTTGGGGCGGACACGACGCGAAGACGGAGTGCCTGGACGCGAAGAAATGGCGAAGTCGGAGTCTCTTTGAGGTTCTGCCCAAACTCAGTCGGATTCCCTGAGCCCGAGCTGTTGAGACATGAGACATGTCCAAACTTGTAGGCCATGCTGGCCATACTACACTCGGATGTAAAATAATTCTCAGTTCTTCGGATCGGCGCAAGGAGACAAACATACAAACACCGATGAACAGACTCCACCAACCAGTGGTTTTCAGGTTCCATGTTAGTCTTCCAGGGACCCCTGGAAGGCGAAATGATCAGGGCCATGCCATCGGTTGAACCTCCTGAGTTAGCTGATGTGTATGTGTGACTGTGTCAAACCCTGTTCCAAAGGACAATAATTGCTTAAAGCAGGGGGACAAAGCTCTCTCATGCTACTCTGTCCAATGAAGCTATGCATCAGAGAGGAAAGCACTCACTGGCCATGCACGTGCCCCTGCTTTTCTACACTATGGAGCGATTCCTCTGTCTCGCTCGCAAACTGGGAGCAAAGTTCGTCCGCCGACTTTTCTGTCAGTTCTCTTTCCTTTTCACTACGGCTGTGACTCATTCCTTCATCTCGCTCACTGACACATGACCCTTTCATTTTTATCTTGCTTCCCTATACAAAACACGAGGCTTTCCATTCTTTGATTTACTTACCTATACGATCGAGCGATACTTGTGTGACGCAGAAACAGTTTTTACCTGTTGTTCTTATCCGTTTATATTATAAGGTCTGTTTTCGAGGTCAAGTCCACCTGCAATATGCGTGTGATGCGGCGTGTCATCTTTGACTCTCTTAAATCCATGCCCAGGGGCTGGTAAATGGTGGTCAAGAGTGGCAGCTTGTCGCACAAGTTGTGCTTCTGCATGACTGGCCAAATCTCCTGGAAACTATCGAACATCTTATCTGGACATCAAGGTGATCAAGTGCATTTCCATGCTGACACGCGGCGTCCCAATAAGATCCTGACCCATTCCGCCCTCTCCTGCGCCGTCAGGGTGCCTTGTAACTTCTGACCGCCCAGGAGCTCCTTCTCGATTTGATCCCAACCTGGCTGTTGGACACCGACATACGAGACTTCAGATATGTGATGTTGATTCACTCCCAGAGGGAAACGTAATGGAAAACGGGGGTCGGATGGTTCGGATCAGTTCTCACCGTTTGGACGTCTACATGTGTTGATCAGGGAGAGTAGAGTTCTGGCATTCCACTTGGGCGACCCAAGGTCCTCCAAAAGCAACCCGACTGGAGGAGTAGATGAATCCACACCAATACAGGTCCATGTCATGTAGGTTTTGACCCGTGGGGAAATCAGGGTGCCAGTCAATCATTCCTTGTGAGCCATTGAGAGAGGACTTTAGCTAGGAGATTCACATCGAGAATTCCGCAAGACTCCAAAAGGAAGCTCAAATTGCATCAAGGAAAGAAAGCATCCGGAACTCTGGGTCTTGTTGGAGGTGATGATTGTACGGTGTGCCCGAAAAGCCAGATGCTGACATGCATAGTTCACATCTGAATGGGTTTACAACTCTTCTGTCTCCTTTCAAACCATTTAGAGCTACACCAACTGGGTCGAGTCCGAAATCCTCTTCAGGTCCGTCTCTTCAGGATGCTGAAACCATCCATTGAGGTCAGGGCCGTGCAGACACGCCCGCGCGCAGACACGCCCGGCCTTTGGCGCCCTTGGCCTTCACGAAGGCTTCGGCACACTTTCGATTTCGGCCACCGAAGCAGGTGGTGATCAAGTCCTCAGTTTTTGATCAGGCTCAAGACCGCGAGGTGAAAGGTGAGAGGTGCAGGTGCTACCTGCCTCAAGTGCCAATTCAATTGTTCTTTTCTGATCATGAAGTCTCAAGTTATTTCTAGTTTTAGCTTCTGGATCATGAAGATGCAAGTTTGAGTGTAAGAAGAAGAAGAAGACGACGACGACGACGAAAGAAGAAGACGAAGAGGAAGAGGAAGAGGAAGAGGAAGAGGAAGAGGAAGAGGAAGA